CATAATTGAATGTGTGTTTCACCTGAATTTTAATATTGTTGCGAGGTTTTGCATACGGCAGTTGGCATATAATATATCAATGAGCAAACGTTATTAAAATAAATCACTAAAATAATAATACAATAAACTGCCAAATAGGAAGGTTATAAACGCTAAATCAATAATCGGCACGAACCACTTTATATTTGCTGGTTATTCTGACTGGGACTAATCAGGAAGATATTTCTGAAAATAGATGACTGATAACTGACTTTTAAAACTGATTTAATTATTGAAAAAGTGCTAAACGCTGATTGAATGATTGATAGTACTTAACTCTAAAAAAAATTCTGATTCTGGTAGTTGTAGCATTGATAACAAAGCCTTATATAGCCTTTGTAGTGCAAACTGACCAGCTAATTATCCTTCAGAAGCGATCCTCTGAGGATATGTAGTGTCAATGAATGCCTACTGTAATTTGAGGTTGCCTTTCGCGTACTGCCGCGACATCAACATTAAAAATGATAGTCCCTCGTTTTTGCCTTGCTTCATTTAAATGAAGTATCAAATACACCTTCGACGGAAATAATGAAGTAGGCAATTGTTTTGCATTAAATGCAGTGCATTTAACAGTTAAAAAAAGTTTTTGATAACGACTATGCGGCATATTATAACTCTTTTTGGAAGAAGTGTAGGATTTTGAAAACTATGCTACAGCATAAAACTTCATCAGAGCCTTCATTCTGTTCGCAAGCAAATAATTAGTGGAGTAAATGAAATAAAATTCTTTTCGGCAAAAGTAACATTTTTGCTTTAGCATAAAATTTCATCAGAACCTTCATTCTCTTCGCAAGCAAATAATTAGTGGAGTAAATAAAATACCGTTCTTTTCGGCAAAAATGTTATTTTTGCTGAAAGTTTGCTTTAAATTAAAACCACTGTAGAAAAGCATCTCAAAAAACTTAGCTTTAATCATTTTCGATCATTTCTTGGAAAAAAAATGGACAGAAATTTACGCTGAATTTTATTCACCAAAGTACTGTGAATTAGTAAAACAAGATTTGCAATCTTGCTAAAGTGCAGGATTTGTAAAAGTTACTGCAAATTTTTGTGAGAAATTACGCTAAATGCATCGTCTTGCGCATCTAATTTCATAATCCGTTTCTGACTTCGGTGACTTGTAAACTTTTAGTCTACAATCACTTAGTTTAAAGATTCCGCTGGAAGCAGCGCTAGCAGCAAAAGACAGTTTGTACAAAGTGAAATCAGATCGATTGAATGCTGTCGAAAATTAACTGCGAAGAAGCAGAAATAAAAAAAAACAGTTTTAACAATATTTATTACTATTTTAAAGAAACAAAATTAAAATTTTTATATTTGTTCTCTCTGCTTACAAGATTCTTCACAAAACTGCAACAGTCCACACGGTTTTTTCAATGTTGCGGAAATGGGATTACGCCAAAAAGTACCTGGTCAGGGAAAGTTTGCTACCATGAGAAGTTCCGAAGGACTTCGGAGTTTTCTTGGCATTAACTCGGTTAAGTTTAAAAAAAGTCCTTCAAAGTTTTAACTTCTACAATCTTTCTTGAAACTGTTAATTGCTTGTTTTTAATTATATTTGAAATACTGAAAGGAAGAATAGCAGTTTTTAATTCGGACTGAGACAGTTTTATGTGCTGTTCCATGAACACTGAACAATTTGTTTTATGTGGATGAAATTGTAAAACCAGTAGTCTTTCCAAAGAAAAATGCCTACTCTGATGAAGAGTACAGTTGACAGTACTCAATCGGAATTTAGAACTTGTTTTACAGTCCAAAACAACTGAAGCTTTCTTTGAAGTCCTGCAGATCAATGTCAGCTGCGCCCTGAAAAACTAAGTTAAAAAGATCCTGAAACAAGAAACTGCTCCACTTCGCTTCCCTGTAAATGTCTTATCCCAGTTCACGCTTGCATTAGATTCGACAAACCCAGCTTTTTCGCTGTAAAACCCTCTACAACAGACGTCTTGAAAATATTTTGAACTAGACGTTAAAAAATATTTATATTAGTAATTATAGTTGAATTAAGAAAACGTTGATGTCAAACTGACAAGAAATAATTATCATATTTGGGTAATTAGCTAAAAGTGCACAAGGTGAAAAAGCTTGCACTATCCTTTATACGAGAGAATAGAAAGTTTAACATATCTCTGTCAAAAAAAAAAAAGAACATCCTGCAGCGACAACACTGAAAATACTTTCCTCACCACTGCGGTACTTTGCAGCTGACAGCACTGTTAGCTTAAATTTTTTTT